ACACACACACACACACACACACAATATATATATATATATATATATTATATATTGTGTGTGTGTTTTCAATTCAATTATAGCCACATGTAAAATCAAAGCACTAAACTTTACATTAAAATAATGCAGTAAACATCTCATAGATTTTGTTACCATTGCCATGCATTATACGACTGATAGACTGCAACGGCTAGAGTTAAAAATCATCATATGTGTTCTACTGAAGAAACAAAGTCACCTACATCTTGGATGCCCTGGGGGTAAGCAGATAAACATCCAATTTTCATTTTTGGGTGAACTATCCCTTTAAGCCCCGAGTGTCCGTCGAGTTGGGGGCGTGTCGAGAAACATGGCGGAATCGATGGATGCAACGTCTGTAGTTGACGGTAAATTTTTGTTTAAATTGATAGTTTTGTAATATAACAATTAATAACAAGTTTTTATGCGATACAGATTAAAGTGGCTTCATAAATTACTTTTTAAAAATATTAAAAACGCAAAACACACCTGATGCGAATTCTTTGCTCTTCATTTTCTATAAGCAGAGTTAACAGACCTGTTGTATTTTCTTGTAATTTATTAAAAGTAGGTACACCGCCATCGTGTGCCGACTAAACTGACTTGAACGCACCGGACGTCGTAATTACGATTTATCAACTCGTAAATACGAACGTCCCAGGAGGACTTGAACGCAGCAATACATTACCACGCGTTTTTCTTTCTTTTTTTCTCGTGAGACATTTGTCCTCCCTCGGCTGCCGTGGCGACACGTCACAATGGAGACCATGGAACGTCATATTTGTGGCCTCGCCGTTAGACGCGTCTGGTGGCAATAATAACACAGTGTTGCGTTCCGTTTATAATCTGTATTCGTGATTGGTGAGCTACTAAGCCGTCGGGATTCTCTGTGGTTTGCCTGTCATTAGAGCTGTGTAGATTTATTCAGATGTTTATTAAAGACCAGCGCGCGGACTGCAGTAACGTTACAGCAGCAGTTACTGCTGTGAACAGAAGGTGTTTCTACTGATGCTCTTCCTGCAATAAAACGATGGATGGAAGTGAGAAGATGGAGTCTGATGATGTGGTGATCATCGTGGAGAATGAGGCGGAAAGTAAGCGCGCTGATGAAGCTCAGGGCGGTGTGAGGATGATGGTGATGGCTCTGATGGACGTGTGTCCCGTGTGTAAGCTCAGCTTCAGCAGCAGAGAGCCCAAACTGCTGCCCTGCCTGCACTCCTTCTGTAAGAGATGCTTACCTGCTCACAACACACCTGCCAGCACAGCCAGCAACGCCCAGCAGTGTAAGACTTTGCTTTCACTTTTACCCATTCACAAGACGCACTATTCAAATGACCGATTCAAACGATACATCTAATAATGGCAGGCGAAGAGCAGATATACAACGTCCCAAAGCTGCTAGAACAAAGAAAAAAGCAATTTAGCTACATTTATGCTTATCAAATCAGCAACGCCAAGGTAATGGGTTCGATTCCCAGGGAATGCATCAGCTGATAAAATCTTAAATGATAAAACCTTAAATGCATTGAATAATAAAGTCATCTGCCAAATGCGTTAATCTAATATAAATATAAAGTGGCATGGTGTTATTATTTTTAAATACTTAGAATGATTCATGTGGATATTATTCGGTAATTCCATGAATTAGATGTAGGCGTCATTGCAGACATCTCAGAATCAGCTTTATTCGCCAAGTGTGCGCGAACACACAAGGACTTTGTTGTGGTTTTTAAGAAGCTCTTGGTACATACATGCATACATACATACATATCTGACATGAGAACATAAACATTTAATTAAGACTTAACAATAAATAATAATGTGTATGAATCTGGAACAGAAGATTTATGTACAGATTTGTGCATTATTTACTCTATATATACAGCTGTATAAAAAAAATATGCATTTGTATTTACATAGTACTTGAGAGAGAGGCAATAATTAGAGATGGAGAATGAATTACACGCATTAATTACAGAACACAGGTAATAATTCATGATGGCATGGGGGAAAAAAATGTTTTTATGCCTAGATGTTCTAGTGCACAGAGATCTGTAGCGTCTGCCTGAGGGGAGAAGTGCAAACAGGTATATATATAGACATACATATCTAACATGAGAACGGAAACATTTAAATAAGACTTAACAATAAATAATAATGTGTATGAATCTGGAACAGAAGATTTATGTACAGATTTGTGCATTATTTACTCTATATATACAGCTGTATAAAAAAAATATGCATTTGTATTTACATAGTACTTGAGAGAGAGGCAATAATTAGAGATGGAGAATGAATTACAGGCATGAATTACAGAACACGGGTAATAAATTAATTTGTTAGCTGTTTAGGCTGGAGATGGGATGGGGGGTGTGTCCGGGGTGAGAGGGGTCTTTGATGATGTTACCTGCCCGTTTCTTCACTCTGGAGTTGTACAAGTCCTGAAGATTGGGCAGGTGGACACCAATGATCCTTTCTGCTGTCCTAACAGTCCGCTGCAGTCTTCTTTTATCTGATTTGCTGGCTGACCCAAACCAGACAGTTATAGAGGAGCACAGAACCGACTCAATAACAGCCGAGTAAAACTGTCATCTAAAACATCTTCTCTACTCCTTAAAACCTATAGGCTAATTCAGTGAAATTATTTGATTTGAATTTACAGTGTTGCTGTTATGACATTTCTTCAACTAAAATATGGGCAATTAATTATGTATGCATTCAAATGTATAAATATGGGAATATATGAATAAACATGTATCAAAGTTACTAAATAAATTTACCTTTCAGATGAATCTCTTTTACCGGGATTCTGCTTTGTTTTTCATCGGTTATTCAGTTATTCAACTAAATTGTCAAATTTAAATAGAACAGTTGATGAAGTATTTTCCTTTAATAACACATTAGCTGATGCATCATCAGGGCAAATGGAGTAACCCTTGCTCAGACATTCATGATATTTGTAAATATAATTTTTCGTCTTATGTTTGAAAGGAAAAAAAAAAAGATTACCTTGTCATGAGCTTTTAAAGGGGTCATATGATGCTATTTTAAAGATAATTATTTTGTGTATTTGGTGTAACAGAATATGTTGACATGCTTTAATGTTCAAAAAACACGTTATTTTTCAAATACTGTACATTATTGTACATGATTCCTAATTGCATCTACTTCCGGAAGGCCAAATAAAGTGCTTTTCCATTCGCACTGAAATACACAGCGTCTCCCTGACATGGCTGCATCAACACGACTGCTGTTCCTGAAACCACGCGTTCTTTCTTTGCGTGCACATTTGGGCGGCATTATGCTAATATTTCCACATAGTGACGTAGATATGTGGGGGCGTGTTAGAACGAGACGTTTTAGGTAGGTGTGGCTGACTCTTAACTTTTATAAAGAATATCTCTTTGGATTTGAGACTTTAGTCTTTGCAACTTTACAGATCTTCTTTATGCACCAAGAGCTTGTAACACTCCAAAGAGAGGAAAAATTTAAATCGCATCATATGACCCCTTTAATAGTTCTTCTTTTTAAAATCGACCGTCGTAATTAATCATTAATCGCGCCTAACATTCAAATTTGTATTCATAAATATATTTTTATATTAAATCTCTAAAGTAATGAGGAAACAACATAAAGATTGTTTTAATTATTTTTTTTATGAGATTTGTCTTTAACCGAGTAGAAAAGGCCAGTATCATTGATATCAATACTGATAATGATGCCTCTATTAAATTGTTAGTTTTTTTTCAGTTTGTAATATAATTTAATAATATTTCTTCTTTTGTATCATGTGGTCCTTGAAATGTTACTGAATATGTTTTCCTGGTCTTCTCTTTTGTGTTGCATTAGTGAACATGATCCGCTGTCCAGTCTGTCAGCAGGAGTGTATGGATGTTGAAGTCTTGGATAATTTCTTTGTC